GCGGCGGACACGTGGTGTGGGCTCCGGAAGGGGCGGCCTGGCCGCGTGCTGCGCGGCCCGCTACGCGCACATGGTGGCAGGGAGGTGCCCCCACGTGGCCCGCCAGGTCTGGAAGGGGCGGGGTTTCCCTGGGAAAGTACAACTTCTCGGGAGGCCGAGAGCGGAAGACGGGTTTAAAAAAAAAAGATTATAAAGCTGTTCTTCCAAATTTGAACTCAGGCGTGGGTGGTGGAGTTAAGTGTTCGAATTCTCCAAAGGAGGTTTTGGGGTGGTCTGTGAATAGTGGCCCTGAGAATTTCCAGATATAGCCTGTGCGTGTGAAATCGTGCCGCCGTGGGTTCTGGAAGTACAGCTTGATCACGGTGGGCTTAACGAAGACAACGGAGGTGATTTTCTCGAAGTTGACTTTTTATCCTAGGGTTGACTAGTACTTTAATATGATGGGGGGACTCGAGAATGACTGCAATTTACAGACAGGAAAACTTGGTGTCTGAGATGTAATGTGCTAATTGTGTCTGCTTTAGGCTGGTAAAAATCAAGGTGACCCTAAGAAAATGGCGCCTCCCCCCAAGGAGGTGGAAGAAGACAGTGAAGATGAGGAAATGTCAGAAGATGAAGAGGATGAGAGCAGCGGAGAAGAGGTAATCACTGCGACCTAACACACAGCACTGTGTCAAGCAAGATGGAACGTTAACTCATATGCCAGGATGTCACAGGGCAATATTTGATTGACTTTGAGGGGTTCTGGAATTCCATTCCCAACAAGTTAGTCCCCTACCCCCAAGGTGAGGCAACAACCATGACTGTTAATTGAGTTTATTCTGGTCTGAGAGTCTTAACCAGTAACTTCATACCATCCAAGCAGGGTTGATTCAATCACATATGGGCTTTATAACCTCTAGTCGCTTATGTGTAGATTGAGGATTGCAGGTTCCATCTGTTAACATTGACCCTATTTAATTGTCACCTGCTCTTAGCTGATCATTACACTTGTGCTCAGATTTTTTGTTTAGAATTTAGTAAAAGTTTTTCTCTACAGTGGCCAACAAAACTAGTAATACACAAAAACTAAATCTGGATGTGAGCGACTTAATCCTAAATAAGGGATAGTTTCGTCCATCTTAACATCACTAGGATTTGTGCTGATAGTGCAGGGATAGATTCGCCCCTCCCCAAAGCCTTCAATCAACATTTTAGGCAGTTGTGTAATGCTTAAAGTGTAAAACTTGACACATACGAGGCTTTTAGAGTGAGATGTAAAGTTGATGCTGATACCATTTTCAGGTGAGGAAAAGGGGTGTCTCTTTGGGGTGGGGACATACTGCTTCAAAGCTAAAGCAGCTGTGAAGACAGGTACAGGAATTAAGGGATTTTGTGCTCAGGAATTTTATTACTTGAAGATGGGGATTGTAGCTTTGTGGCATTATAGAAGTGTTAGGGGGAAAGAGTGCCCTCAGGGAACCTCACAGGTTTTGTGGACTCCACCCCCACTCCAGACCAAAGCCATCAATACACATGAAACTGCAAATCCCGTCATCACTGAAGCAAGCCTGCTGGGACCTGAGGGTGGGTTTGGGCCCCCAGTTGGGTGTGAAACCAGACGTGTGGGCTTTGGAGAGGGGGCTTGCTGCTCCTGCTCCTTTTGGCTTTCACCAGCTCACAGCATGCCGTTGGGATTCCAGGTTGGTGGAACCAGTAGGATGCATTGCCAGTTGATCACCCTCCCCGAAATACATTTCCCCTACTTTGGTAAATAAGCCCATTAACTTTGCGTGTGTGCCTGCAGGTTGAATATTTAAGTCACTTTAAGTGCAAGGGTGAGGACATTCGGGGAACCCATTTCATACCGTGGTTGCCCTGTAACAAGACATGTGACGTGATGGTCACAGCGCTTCCGTGAACTAGGCACACATGGTTGTCAGCCATAGGCAGTGTTAAGAGTCACTCATTTTTGGGACAGACTTGGGTTAGGAAGCAGGCTTCATATATTTTTTTCTATTTTCAAGGTGGTTATCCCTCAGAAAAAAGGCAAGAAGGCCACCCCAACTCCAGCAAAGAAGGTGATGGTTTCTCCAGTAAAAAAGGGTGTGGTTGCCACACCAGCTAAGAAAGCAGCCGTCACCCCTGGCAAAAAGGCAGTGGCCACACCAGCCAAGAAAACGGTTACACCAGCCAAAGCGGTAGCAACGCCTGGCAAGAAGGGAGCCACACCAGGCAGAGCGGCTGTGGCCACCCCTGGTAAGAAGGGAGCAGTTGTCCCAGCCAAGGGAGCGAAGAATGGCAAGAATGCCAAGAAGGAAGACAGTGAGGAAGAAGACGAAGATGACAGTGAAGAGGATGATGAGGACGACGATGATGAAGACGAAGATGAATTTGAGCCAGCTGTGATGAAAGCGGCTGCGCCAGCCTCAGACGACGACGAGGATGAGGATGAAGATGATGAGGATGACGACGACGAAGACGAGGATGATGAGGACGAGGATGGTAAGGGAATTCCCGCCGTGGTCCTTGGGTTTCATCTAGTGAGTTAAGAGTGGTGACCTTTAAGAGCATCTGTTTTATGACAACCTGCAGGTTGGGGAAAGATCCTTGAAGGGATTTTCTGGGTGCGGTATACATTCTGTGGATGCCTATCTACCTCTAAGAAAATGTGTAAGATTGTACATTCTAGGAGGACTCATAATTGGGTTTTGTTTCCAAGTAATCTCTTCATTTTTGGCCATCGCTATTAGGCAGCGGCATTGTTGGGGTTTCATTCCTTTTCCTTTAGATTTCCCTAAAATGTAAATGTTGGCTTGGGAGAATTCTCTTGGGTTTTTGACTAGATGACTTCTTTCAGACTCTGAAGAAGAAGCTATGGAGACTGCACCAGTCAAAGGAAAGAAACCTCCTGCAAAAGTTGCTCCTGTGAAGGCTAAGAACGTGGCTGAGGATGATGATGAAGAGGATGAGGATGACGACGAGGATGAGGATGAAGATGATGAAGAGGAGGATGATGAGGACGAAGAGGAGGAAGAGGAGGAAGAAGAGGAAGGTAATCAAGTTAGTTTCTGAGGACCTATTTACTGGAGTTTTGTATAAGGGGGTGGCAGTACATGTGGCTACTTGTGGATGACTTGGATTGCTTGAAATTTAGAACCTGTCAAAGAAGTACCTGGGAAGCGAAAGAAGGAAATGGCCAAACAGAAAGCCGCTCCTGAAGCCAAGAAGCAAAAAGTGGAAGGTAACTTGGAGTCCAGAGGGTTGGGGATGACACCAGGTAGCACAAGTGATGGACAAACAAGGGACTTAATACTGAATGAAATCTGATGCGACCTAGATGGCTGATGTGCTGTGTGTGGGAAGTTTTGCCGGAGGTTGTTTGTGCCGTACTAGACTAATTTGAGGTTTTTGGTGTTATGTGACCACAGCCACAGAACCAACTACGTCTTTCAATCTCTTCGTTGGAAACCTGAACTTCAACAAATCTGCTCCTGAATTAAAAACAGGTCTCAGTGACCTTTTTGCTAAAAACGATCTTGCTGTTGTGGATGTCAGAATTGGTGTGTCTAGGTAGGTATGGGGGGGGGGTTTATGCAAGAATTACCTCTGTTATTTCTGGAACCTAAAATGATAATCCCTCATTTCCAGACTTCAGCTGGCTGTCTTTAAACAGGAATGTGACATGGTTGTAAGATCAATCACAACATTATCAAACTGAATAATCCCCAAATTAGAATTTCTATCTTTATTTTGTCCTGAAATTTTTTTTTTTTTTTTAGATTTATGCATAGAAGAGGTGGGGGGCAGGACAGGTGGGTCCACTGAAACTCACTGGCCTTAAGCCCCTGCCCCAAAATCTTGCGGTCTCAGATTTGACACTTCGATCATAAATTAGTAAAACTGTAATAGTGAATGCTGTTATCAGCTAGATGGGGTGTTCCTGTCTTGAAAGAGCAATTTTCATTTTTGGTCAGTTGCTGCAGTCCATAACAGTTGTGTAGGTCAGAAGGCTGCAGGTGAACTTGTGTCAGGTTTAGGGACTTGGGCCTTGCTCTGCACCCACTTTATGTTAATGTTTCCTGTGCCCAAAACACCTGCGCCTTGGGTTATAACTGGTACTGGTCTCCTTGCCTTAAAGGAAGTTCGGTTATGTGGACTTTGAATCTGCTGAAGACCTGGAAAAGGCCTTGGAACTCACTGGCTTAAAAATCTTTGGCCAAGAAATCAAACTAGAAAAACCAAAGGGAAAAGACAGTAAGAAAGGTATGTCCGGCTTTAGCTTGATGACTTGTCAGCGCGTGGGGGCTGGTCTGTCGTGCATTTGGAAGTCTGCCTGCCAGGACAGGCCATGCAGTCACCTCCCCTTGTTTGTGCGTGATGTTTTAACAGCTACGTCACTTCAGAAGTCTTACGCGTTCAGGGTTACTTAAGTGTACTGTTTGCTGTGTAGGTTATGGAGGTGCCTCGACAGGAACAGTCTTGCAGAGCTAGATTAGACCCCTCCTCATCTGTTTATTCATTTCCTTTTATCTACATTTTTGTTTCCTAGATCGAGACGCAAGAACACTTTTGGCTAAAAATCTGCCTTACAAAGTTACTCAGGATGAATTAAAAGAAGTATTTGAAGATGCTATGGAGATCAGATTAGTCAGCAAGGATGGAAAGAGTAAAGGGTATGTTAGTGCCTACGGAATATTAGTGTCACTAAAATAAGCTCTGGCCTGTGTAGGAAAGGTTGGTCCAGTTTCCTATCTGGATTTGGGTGGGTGCTTCATTTTCTTTTGTACAGGGCGGGGGGGGGTAGCGTTATTTTAGTTAGGATTTAAACTGATAAGTTCATGTGTAAAGCGAAATGCTTAGTTTCTGATACGTGCTTTTACTAAGTAGTAGCATTTGTTGCAAGGTGGAGGTTTGCCCCATGAGTAAATTTTCTAGGTGTGTTTGGCAGACAGATAAGTTTTAGTTGAAGACTTACACATTTCAATTAGTATAAAACAAAGGACATTTTTGTGACTTACCAAAAACAAAGTTGTTTTGTAGACATTTGTGTTGAATACTTAATATAATCTTAAAAGTTTTGTGACTTCTAAAGTTTTTTCCTGTTGCAGGATTGCTTATATTGAATTTAAAACAGAAGCTGATGCAGAAAAAACGTTGGAAGAAAAGCAGGGAACAGAGATAGATGGACGATCCATTTCCCTTTACTATACTGGAGAGAAAGGTCAAAGTCAAGACCACAGAGGTGGGAAGAACAGCACTTGGAGTGGTAAGGATAAAGGCCCACCTACAGCATCCCAGGGTTGGTGGGGGAGGGAGCTCTGTGTATCGTTGTATAGTAGAGTGACTGGATGGTACTTTTGCTAGTAGTAATCCAGTGGCTTAGATGGAAGCATTTACCTTAGAACATAAACAAATTTAGCTGTTCTGGTAAGAAAGTTAATGACTTAGACTTTTTAATTTAAAGCAGTTCTAGGAAGACATATGCCAGGAGTCACCTTACACGTTGAACAAAAGGCATGGGAGAGAGTAGAGCATGATGGTGCACGGTGTGTAACCCCCACCGGTGCCCTCGAGGTCCAGATCTCGAGCACAGTGTTACTAAACAACATACAACTGTGAGGGTGGGGACAGTCAGTTTTTATCATAATTTTAATATCTTTTTATTTGTAGGTGAATCAAAAACACTGGTTTTAAGCAACCTTTCCTACAGTGCAACAGAAGAAACTCTTCAGGAAGTATTTGAGAAGGCGACTTTTATCAAAGTACCCCAGAATCAAAATGGCAAATCTAAAGGGTAACAACTATATTCCTTAGTGTTTGGGCTGTATGTTGCCTTGGGTGTTTTTTCTTTTTTGTTTTAAGGTTTATTTATACATACAAGAAGTGGGTGTAGGCCAGGTGTGGGGTGGTGAGGATTCACCAGACACAGAATGGGGAGCAGAACAGGTGGATCAACTGAAATCCACTGTTGTGAAGACAAGAGAGGTCTGCTGTACCCTGTGTGTGGGCCACCTCCCTGGCCGGGGATAGAATGCATGCCACAGTGGCTGCAGATAGCTTCATAGTGCTGAGGCCCCTAAATGTATCTTTTAAAAGTTGTGGGGTGTGGGTTGTAAGCCAAAGCAAAGTTTAGCTACACAAATCAGTGTGGAGAGAAAACAGTTTGTCCCTTGGTGGCAGCAGAACTGTGCTCATTGTGACTTTGCACATTGACTTCATCCTCAGGTATGCGTTTATAGAATTTGCTTCATTTGAAGATGCTAAAGAAGCTTTAAATTCCTGTAACAAAAGGGAAATTGAGGGCAGAGCCATCAGACTGGAGTTGCAAGGGCCCAGGGCATCAGCCAACGCGAGAAGCCGTAAGTACCGTAGGTGAATGGGGCTGTGTGTGGGAGTCAGCCCTCCGCTGCGCTCAGCTTCCTTAGACCCGGATTCATATGGCTGCTGAGTGACCATGAGCTGGATGTGATGATTGATTATCTGAGAAACAGCTGATGAAATCTCAAGAAAATTCCTCTAGATAGTCAAGTTCTGATCCAGCTGTGTCGACTCTGAGCAGTAGTTTGCTGTGGTTTACTGCCTGTGTGGCCGGGGTGGCTGCCTGCGGTGGGTCTCAGGTATTTGATTCGGCTCCTGCTTCCCGGGGAGCTCTGAGAAGGGCTCCTGGCGTGACATGGCAGCGGAACACAGCCCTCTGCCTAAAGTGGTTGGCTGAGCTCCACTTTGAGCGTGGGCTGTTTCAGCCTTTGCACATTCAGCATGGGTCATTACGAATTCTTACATAACATGTATGATTTCGGTCTTTTCCAGAGCCATCCAAAACCCTGTTTGTCAAGGGGTTGTCTGAGGAGACCACGGAGGAGACACTGAAGGAGTCATTTGATGGTTCTGTCCGGGCGCGGATAGTCACCGACCGTGAGACCGGGTCCTCCAAAGGGTAAGAAGCAGGGTGGCCAGCAGCCCGAGTGCACCCCTCCCCGACGTACCTTCTCATTGAGCTCCTTTCTGTCCATCAGTGACAGTTTACGGATTCGCACGAGAAGAAAAGCCAATACACAGCACTAGCACTCTGGCCCTGTCTTCAGAGGCCGTTCTGCTGTCCTGTGAGACATGGCATGGAAACAGCCAGCGGAGAGGTGGCGCCCGCCGGCTCTGTGTCATGTTGTAAACGGGGGACCCCTTTGGCCTTCCAGGTTTGGGTTTGTCGACTTCAACAGCGAGGAAGATGCCAAAGCTGCCAAGGAGGCCATGGAAGATGGGGAAATCGACGGCAACAAAGTCATTTTGGACTGGGCCAAACCTAAAGGCGAGGGCGGCTTCGGGGGTCGCGGAGGAGGCAGAGGCGGCTTCGGAGGCAGAGGCGGCGGCCGAGGAGGCAGAGGCGGCGGCTTCGGGGGCCGAGGTCGGGGAGGCTTCGGAGGTAAGGCGGACGCGGGGCTGCTCGAGTCTGCGGGACCCGGGGGGTGGCGCGCAGCGTAGTGCTCACTCGCCTGTGGCGTCGTCTTTCCTGCAGGCCGGGGAGGCTTCCGAGGAGGCCGAGGAGGAGGTGGCGACCACAAGCCGCAAGGAAAGAAGACGAAGTTTGAATAGTTTCTTCTCTCCCTGTCTTTCCTTCTTCCGTTTGAAAGAAAGGACTCTGGGGTTTCTCTGCTCCCTGGTCAGTTGGCCTTTTGAGGACATTCCAAGGCAGTTTGCAGTCCGGTGGGCGACTCGGAATCGCATAGATGACATTTCAAAGGGGGACGCCCTGTTGGTTTTGACTGGATGTTCATATAAACTTTTTAAAGAGATGAGTGATAGAGCTAACCCTTATCTGTAAGTTTTGAATTTATATTGTTCTTCCCATGTACAAAACCATTTTTTTCCTACAAATAGGTGTTTTTTGTTTTTGTGTTTTTGCGTTGGGGGGTGTAAAGGAAAGCAGAATGTTTTATGATTTTTGCTTCAGCAACTTTGGGACAAATTAAAAGTCCTAAACTCTGGTGCCAGACTGGTACTTCTGGAGTGTTTCTCCTGGGGTGTGGCTGAAGGTGGGGTGTGGCCAGGCAGCCCTGGCCTCCAGGTCCTCCCTGCCTGCTGGGAAGGCTGTGCTGAAGTGGCCAGTGCTGCCCCACTTGGAAGTCAGCCCAGGGGCTGCAGCGGATCTGGTGTCTGAGGAGAGGTGCTTGCTGTTGGGCCAGCTGGAAGGGCGCATATTGGGGTTTCACCAAGCCGCAGAGTACGTGCAGGGTGAGTTAGGGGTGGGGCGCAGCAGAAAGCATGCATTCTAGAGAGAAACTTGGGTCTTAAGCCCGTGCTTTCGTGACACAGCAGAAAGGTCAGATTTTGGGGTGTGCCGTTGGGGGCTCTGTGCAAAAGGTCAAAACTCCAAGCATCTTGCTCCAGCCCTCCCGGCCCATAACTACCAGGTGGCAGCGGGTGTGGTTTGATCACTGAAGTGGAGCAAAGCACCGGGTTAAGACAGATTTACCAGAGGGGAGAGGTGAGCTTCACTGATGGGCTGAGTCGGCAAGACGTGGAGGGGGTGGGGGAGGCCACTGGCAAGAGGCCAGAAAGTGGGTGCGAGCAGAGCTCTGTCCCAGTGGGTCGCTGGGGTTGGACTCGCCTCAGCGGCAGGTCAGGCTCCCCACGTGAACTTGAAATGCGGAGGATCTTCAGCAGGTGCCATCCCAGAGCCTTCTGCCAAGTGGGTGCCTTCCCTGGCAGACCCCTTGACTGCCCTCTGGGGTGAGCAAACCTGGAGTGCAGAAGGCACTTCTGATAACGTATTGGGGTGCTGCCAGTCCTGCACAGCCCCCCTGGCTGGGGGGATTTGGAAGACCGGCCCATGGACCAAGTGTCAGCGCTCTCAGCCCTAGGCTGGTCCACTGTGGGGGCGGGAGTGCTCCCCAGCGGCTGCCAGGGGTTCTCCGCATCGGTGCCCACACGGGGATTTCCTCAGCCTCTGCGCCTGCGAAGTCCAGAAAAAGGTTCTGCTCTGCCACCTAGTGAGGCCCTGCTAAGGCTGACCTGGCAGCAGCTACTCTTGGGGGAGGGCAGCGAGGCCCTTGCAGGGTCAGAATGGAGCCGAGACTTACATGAATCTAGGGGCTGGGTCCTGCGCGCACCTTAGCCCAAAAGCCTTCCGTGCCTGCTTCAGCTTTGAGTTGAGGCAGGTTTTGCAGCCATTTTAGGAAAGTCAACTTCCTTCGGCAAATGGTTGTCACCGCTTCTGTCGACTTCCAGCAGGTGGCAGCACACCCACAGGATGGGGCCGTGTCCAGGGAACCTAGATTGGATTTAAGCTGCTAGGTCTTTTCATAGCAGCCACGCTCAGACTAAATGACAGGCGGTGGGAGCCCACCAGACACAGCCTGTGGGGTCCCCAGGGAAGGTTCTAGTCAAGCCGGCCCAAATTTGAGTGCCTAGCCTGTGCTCCTTGGAGAATGGCCCTTGCAGAGTCTGGCTCGGCCTCTGAGAACGCTGGAGCTTTTCTCATCCGAGACACTGTCCCCTTGCCGCCTCTTCTGTCCCCGCACTCCTGTGGTCCCAATGGCAAGTCTGGCCAGTTTCTTCAGTTGCTGCTTCCCTGCAGCATGGGCACCACCTCTGAAACTCCCTTCTCCCTGAGGAGACCTGAACAGACACTGCGGATGGTCTATGCCACCAGGGTGAGCTGAACGGAAGGAGAAAGCCCCGGGGTTAGCCTGGCAGCAGGCCACTGGCACTGCAGATGTGGCCTGGGGACAAGTGGCCCAGAAGCAGAGACAGTTCTAGGGACTCTGCCGTCGTGGTCCCTGTCATGGGAAAGCGAGTCTCTGCAGAGCCTCAGTCCTGCAGTCCACAGTGGACCCAGCGGTGAACAAGGGACCCTGGAGAAACCACTTCACCCCAGGGTGCGCTGCCCTGGTGGTAGCAAGGGGTGTTTCGGTCAGGAGTTCTTGAAGAATTCCCAAGTTTTCATCATTTTAGGATTGGATGTTCTGGGAGCCTGGGGAGACAGGTAAATGCACATATTTATTTTCATAAACATTTTTGAAAAAGGTGAAAGTGGCTGGCCTCTGGCTGCTCAGCCTTAGCCAGCAGGAACTGGCACTGAGGAGTCTGGTTGAAGTCCCAGTTAGAATTTCCATAAAAATGAAGGTGGTACTGAGGAAAGCGATAAAATTTGCATACAAATTGCCTTTAAATTCTTAAGGATCCCTAAGTGTGTGTGCTCAGCACAGGATACTCCTAAACCCAGGGAGAACAGCTGTGGAGGTTGAAGACTTGGCTACAGACACCTGCAGTTCCCTCAGTGCTAGAGAGGCCTGGGGCCCTCCCTGGGGGTGCTGGCGCCTCTACAACCTGAGTTCGATCCCCCACCAGGGACCGACCCACAGGGCACAGCAGACCTCTTCTCTCTCCCTCCCCGCTGCTTCCCTCAGCAGTGGATTTCAGTGGCTCTACCTGTTCTGCTCCCCACACTGCCTCTGGTGAATCCTCCCACCCCCACCTCTGGCCTACACCCCAGTTCTTGTGCATATAAATAAATCAATCTTAATTAAAAAGGACTTATGTACGTGTATAAAAACAGGTGTGGTGCAGGGGCCAGAGGACCTACTAGAGCCAGAGTGGGGAGTAGAACAGGTGGATGGACTGAAATCCACTGCTGCGGGGAGCAGCAGGGACAGGAGAGGTCTGCGCCCTGCGGGTCAGCACCCTGGCTGGGGATAGCTTGATGGTACTGAGACTTTAATCCTTGCACCACCAGGGAGGCTCCAGGACCATGTTTTAGAAATAATGATCACAACAAGAGGTTAAAGAGACCACATTTCAGGCCTTAAGACTAGGGCAAAATGCAAAACCAAGATTTACTCTTGGGGGGATGTAAGTCCCCCCATAATCTAGAAGAGCTGGAACAGGATTCAGAGGTGGTGAATGGAATTTAGACTACAGTGTATCACAGGTGATGTCAACATCCAGTAAGTAAAAAAATCACTAGACTTGCAATGAAGTATGAAAATGTCAGCAACAGTCAAGAGAAAAATGTGAAACATAACTGATGATGAATTTGCAAATCAGGACTTTGATCATTATAAAGAATGTTAAGCTGTTGTGGGAGAATATGGATGCACTGAATAAGGAGTGGTTAAGAAAAGAACAATAAAATGTGAATAAAGTGTAGTATATATGAAAAAAAATAGAAAAAAATGGAAGTTTTTATTTTTAAAAAGATTTATTTATTCATGCATACAGAATTGGGTCCAGGCCATTGGTGCAGGGGCAGTGAGAGGATTCACCAGAGACAGTGGGGAGCAGAACAGGCAGATGGAACAAGGCCACTGCTGAGGGGAGCAGCGGCGGGTCAGGAGAGGCCTGCTGCGCCCTGTGGGTCCCTCCTGGCTGGGGCTCAAGCTCGCGCTGCAGTGGCTGTGACAGCTTCATAGTGCTGCGCTTTAATCTGTTGTGCCACCAGGGAGGGCCCAAAAATAGAAGTCTCACACACAGTGTATGCTGTTTTTGTCATGTATTTTGCTTTGACATCTATTACAAACCCCCTAACTACTTACACGGACTTTTGCTCTAAGCAGTTGATTGGCTAACTCACGTCAGTGCTCTCCATTTCCTCTTGCAGAGCTGCTGTTGCACCTCATGTCTCCTCCAGCCTGAAAACGTCCTTGCGTATCTTAAACAGCAGCTGTTCTGAGAGTCTAGAAATTCCTCAGTCTTTATTTCTCAGATTTTTTTTGTCCCCTACTCTCTTCTCCTTGGAACTCGATTACACATTTGACAATCTGCTCTCTTGTCATTCTTTCCCCACCTTCTTTTGCTTTCAGCTTCAGCCTGGATTAATAGAGATGAAGAAAAATATCTTTCTCTGCTACCCCTCTAAGTTCTTGCCTGGAGGCCCAGTCATAAATGATAGATAATAAAAGCATAAAATTTCAGTGCTATGTGACATGGAAGCCTTTCAAGTACACATGGAGAATTGACCACATTATTCCAGGCCACAAAACAAACCTCAAATTTCAAAGATTAAAAAACATGCGCAGTATAGTCTCTGACATAACGGAAATAAATTATAAATCAGCAATAAGATTCTAGAAAATCCCTAAGTATTTGATATTGAATAACACTTCTGAAAAACTTCTGACTTGGTCAAAATAGGAAACAGGTGAGAAATTATATAATGTGAATCACTATGATCCCCACTATGTATTTATTCACATAAATACATTTTGGATAAATTTAATGCAGTGTTGAATGGAAAATTAAATGCTTTAGGAAAGGAAAAATGTGGTTTGAAAGGAATGATCTTGGGCCCTTTCTGGTGGCGCAACAGGTTAAAGCGCAGCACTGTGAAGCTGTCAGCATCCACTGTAGCACGAGTTCGATCCCCGGCCAGGGAGGTGACCCACAGGGTGCAGCAGACCTCTGCTGTCTCCCCGCTGCTCCCCTCAGTCATGTATTTCAGTCTATCTGCCTATTCTGCTCCCCACTCTGTCCTTGGTGAATCTACTCAGCCCCTGCACCTCTGGCCTGCACCCCAGTTCTTGTGTGCATAAATATTTATCATGCACAGCCAGTCCTTGCTGCTCACAGAGCTGGAATTTGCCAATTCACCTACTTGCTGGAATCTGTGACCCCCCCGCCCCCAGCCAGCACTCGCTGGTCCTTCATGGTCAGTCAGACAAAGGCGGGTGACAAGAAATATGGGTCACATTCCCAGCCCTAGTCCCTCAGGATGACACTCGCCCTTCAGTTTCGCCTCTCGCCCTTCAGTTTCGCCTCTCGCGATAATATTTTCAGGGTTCACTGAGGGCCATGTTTCTCACATTTTTGTCTTTTTTTAATTCACTGCTTAAGATGGCCTCCGGGTGTGGTGCTGAGAAGCCGCCTAACTTCCCAAAGCACTAGGAGGCTGTGCTGTGCCTCAGGGGTTCACAGTGTGGACACAGACTGTCCAGGCGTGAGTTCCTGAGCTGTCGCCATGCATCCAGAGTCAGCGAGACAACCATGTA